TTTGCGCGTACAGCAGAACAGCATAGTGTGTGAAGGAGCATGCCTCAACCATGGGCATTGTGTAACAAGGTGTTTAGCTGCAGGCTATGTTCATTACTGGTGCTTACATGAGGGCAGGGCACCTCTCAGCTGGAGTCAGGTAAGCTCAGGTGCATGAATGAAACTGGCCACATCTGCTCAGACACACAGATTTGCAAAAGGTTGATCGGAGTATGTCAGTAAGTGACATCAGACAGATGAAGAAACATCAAAGTCAATCTCATTCTATATCTATATACAGCAGGTAAAATAAGTATTGAACACAAATAAGTTCAGAAATTAAGTTATGTGTAATAAAATGGGAAAAAAGTAATGAAAATGCTTACTGAACTGTATTTAACACTTTGTTGGCAATGGCAGCTTCAAGACACCTCCTGTATGGAGAAGCTAGTCGCTTGCATTGCTCAGGTGTGATTTTGGCCCATTCTTCCACACAGTCTTCAAATCTTGAAGGTTCCGTGGGTTCCTTCTATAAACTCTGATCTTTAGTTCTTCCCATAGATTTCCTATTGGCTTTAAGTCAGGTGATTGGCTGGGCCATTCTAGCAGCTTTATTTTCTTTCTCTGAAACCAATTGAGAGTTTCCTTGGCTGTGTGTTTGGGATCATTGTCTTGGCGAAATGTCCACCCTTGTTTCATCTTCATCATCCTGGTAGATGGCAGCAGATTTTTATCAAGAATGTCTCGGTACATTTGTCCATTCATCCTTCCTTCAATTATATGAAGTTTGCCAGTGCTGTGTGGTGAAAAACAGCCCCATACCATGATGTTCCCACCTTCGGGCTTCACTGTTGGTATGGTGTTTTTGGGGTGATGTGCATTGCCAGTTGACCTCCAAACATGGTGTGTATTATGGCATCCAAAGAGTTCAATCTTGGTCTCATCTGACCAGACTATATTCTCCCAGTATTTCACAGGCTTATCTAAATGTTGTGCAGCAAACTTTAAACGAGCTTCAACATGCTTTATCTTCAGCAATGGAGTCTTGCATGGTGAGCTCGCGTACAGGCCACGGTGGTCGTGGGCATTACTTATTGTTTTCTTTGAAACAGTTGTACCTGCTAATTCCAGGTCTTTCTGAAGCTCTCCGCAAGTGGTCCTTGGCTCTTCGACAACTCTTCTGATAATTCTTTTCACTCCTCTGTTAGAAATCTTGCGAGGAGCACCTGGTCATGGCTGGTTTATGGTGAAATGATGCTCTTTCCACTTCTGGATTATGGCCCCAACAGTCCTCACTGGAACATTCAGAAGTTTAGAAACCTGTAACCAATGCCATCAGTATGTTTTGCAACAATAAGGTTATGAAGGTCTTGAGATTGCTGTTTGCTTTTACCCATAATGAGATGATTCTTGTGACACCTTAGTAACGAGACACCTTTTTATAGGCCATCAGTTGGGACTGAAGCAGCTGATATTAATTTCTACTGTCAAGGGGCAGGATTGCTTTCTAATTTCTGATAGATTTCAGCTGGTGTCTTGGCTTTCCATGCCTTTTTGCAACTTCCTTTCTTTCATATGTACAATACTTTTTCCTTGTCATTCCATTTTATTCCACATAACTTAATTTCTGAACTTGTTTTGTTTTCTTTGTACTCTATGTATGGATTACTTGGCTTGTTACCGACATCTGGTGAAAATTTCATGTCAAAGGCACCTTTAGAAATATATTTACTGAGAAAAACGGTGACGTGTTCAATACTTATTTTACCTGCTGTTTATTGCAGTTTCCTCTACTATGGGCTCAACATTAAATCTATTGCTCAGCTTCAGCTTGTTCAAAATGTAGCTGCTAGACTGCTGACAGATGCTAATGAAAGTCACCATACTGTATTATCCCAGTCCTCACCTTGCTACACTGGCTATCAGTTAAGTTTAGAAATGATCTTAAAGTTTTAATGACAGATTTTAAAGCTGAACACATTATATTAGGGAGTTACTAGTACCACTGAGTCATAGCGCCCTTTATGCTCCTCTGATCTGAGCTTATTAACTATCCCGAGGTCCCACCGTGTAACAAAAGGAGGCCATGCGTTTGCAGTGCGAGCTCCACAGCTGTGGCACTCCCTCCCTGAGGCTCTCAGGTATGCGTCTGAAAGCATACTTTTACAGGAAAGCTTTATGATCTATATTTTAATGTTTGCTGA